ATAGCCCAAGATGGCCTCCAAAATTGCCCAAGATTGCCAAGCATGGCCCAATATAGCCTCCGACAGATCTCCCAGAGGCCTCAAGACAGCCTGAATATGGCCCGACATAGCCGAGCATGGCTCAGAATAGCTTCCGACAGCCTCTAGCCGAGCATGGCTCAGGATAGCCTCCAACAGGCCTCGGGCAAGCTGGCAATCAATTCTGGACGGGCTGGTGGGGGTACTTTTTTGTTCGGCGGCCCGCAAGGAGAAGTCCAGAGGGCGTGTTCAACACAGGCACAGGGGCGCAATGCCAGGCTGGTGGGGATACTTTTTTTGATTCGCGGCCCGCAAGGAAAAGTCCAGAGGGCGGTGTGAACGAGGCTGGGACACAGCGCGCGGGAAAACAGATAATTAACGGCGCAGCACAAGTGCCGGCCGAGAAAAAGCAGCTGAGCATGTGCCAGCAGCAGAAAATTAACAACGCTGAACATGTGCCAGCGAAGGATGCAAATGGGAAGGGCCAGCCGCTGAGCGTGTGCCAGCGAGGGTGGGGAGGGCGGAAAGGTCGGACCCGCAGGTGGGGCCAGACTGCCAGGCGGAAGGTGCCAAAACCACCCACTCACTTGGAACGTCGGCCAGACTGTACGCCGCTGAGGGGGGTTCGGGCCAATGCCTGGAGATGGCCGACCACAAAGGAGAGCGCCCGCGATGGCCCCTGGTACCAAGGCGGTGTGCGGCTTGCGCATCCCGAAGGCACTCCTGTGACTGTAGCCGACGTCTACCACAAGCGCCAGAACGGTGCCTGACCGACGTCCTTGTCCGCCGATGCCGACAAGCGGCCGACCGTACTGTCAACACGCCCATGTGAAAGGGGGGTCAGAAGCCGCCGTCCCAACGGGCGACGAAGTGGGCTGGTGGGGATACGCGAAGCGTCAAGAAATTGAGAGGAAAGTCGGCGGCCGCATGCTGGAGGACGGGATGCTGACCTGGTAGAGGCTGGGAGTCCCGCGAGCGAAGCGGCAACACGATATTGAATGAGAGATGTGGCCGGCGCCTCGGCGAGAGCACGGGGCCCAGTGAAAGCTGTCTTCTGTTTCCGCCGTTTGCCCTCCCCTCCTCCTGCTCCTCCGTGCCCTCCTTCCGTATTCCTGGGGCCCCTCCTGTTTCTCGCAATCCTCACCGTTCCTTCCCCTTCCTCCTTTTTCTCCTCCGTCCCGCCTCCTGCTCCTTTTCCTTCTCTGCCACGCGGGCCCATTCGGCGCGCGGGCCAGCCGAGCCAAGGACGACGGCTCAGGTCAATCAGAGTGTAATGAATTTGACGGCTCTAAGACTGAGTGGAGCTCCTGTTGGTGCTTTTGTATACCATCGGAGGGCCTTCTTGGGCTGCCCTGGGGGCCTCGTGGGCTGTCTGGGGGGGCTTGGGCCGTCCTGGGGCCGTCCTGGGGCTCTCTCGGGCCCTCTCTGAAGCATCCCGTGGCCCTATTGGAGGTCTTTTAGGGGTCTTTTGGGCGCTCCCTGGCTTTCTTGGCGCTTTATTGGCCCATCTTGGGGCCCCATTGGGCCGCCTGGAGACCATCTCGGGGCGACCTCGGAAGCTCGCAGACCATTCTTGGGCCGTTCGTGGCCAGAAAAGGCGAGAAGCACAGAGTCGTTCAAAAACCAATGGAAAATTAAAGTTTTTGGCCTGCTGAGGCCGTATTGGAGGTCTTTGCGGGGGCATCCTGGGCCGTCTTGAGCCCATGTTTGGTCCTGTTGGAGCACTTTGGGGCCGTCTTGGGGCCTCTTGGGCCTTGCAGGGGACGTCTCGGAAGTGCGTTCTGCTGTCTTGGGCTCCCGATGTAGGCCTCGTGCCGCTCTCTTCGGGGTATTTTGGGCCGCCTCGAAGCATTGTGGGGCTCTCTTGGGGGCCTGTGGGGTTCATGTGGGGTCCATGTGGGGGGGGGGGTCGGTGACATGCCGGGTTTTTCCTGGTCATTTAATAGGTAGAAGGAATATATATATATATATATATATATATATATATATATATATAGACATATACATATAGACATATATAAATTGGCGTTCGGCGCACTCGAATGATTTCGCCGCGAAGAATCAGCTTCTCGGATGAGCTGTGGGCGGCGCGGGCCAGAAGCATGCATTATGAAACGGCTATGCCGACGGAGGCAGACAGAAAACAAAAACACACGCTCTGAGCCCTGCCTCACCATGCGTTTTTTTGTTCTTCGTGTTTATATGTGCATAGATTCACAGGTGCGGGAATACCCGAACACCCACATATATATATATATATATATATGTGTGTACTTAATATGGTTCCATACATTTTTATCTACACATATATGTTGCCCGTCTCCTGTGGCTCCTATCCTAAGTGTTTTGCGCATGTTCCTTCAAGATCAGGCCTCACCTCTCCGTGGCGTGGCCGGCCGTATCACGGTCCAACCACTGCGGGAGATCTTCTGGGCCAGCCGACGAAGCGCAAGGGTTCCGCACGGCGTCTGCACGAGCACCCCTCTTCCTTGCTTCGTCACGGAGGGAGGGATCGCGTAGCCATTCCGACCCAGTCACGCCCAGTCACGATCAGGCCACGGACCTGCAGATGCACCAACGCCAATCCTAAGGTTAGACCTATTCAGACTCATGCGCACAGAGTCATTCGTACCACTGTCACTCCTTCACGCTCCACGTCATTCACAGGTAGATTCAGTCTTAGTCTGTCAATACTCAAGCCCATTGATGTTCGAAATGTCTTGCGCCTAGACACTCACGGCGGAACGGTCCAGGCACATATATGCACATATGGCGAGTTCCGCGCAGTGAAAAATTGTTCTTTCCAGCATGTGGAGGGGGGGCCTCACCAGGCCACGGGGCCGTCAAGAACACAGCTCGGACAAATCTGTCCACGGGACGGGGTTGAGATGTCCAGGGGTCCAGGTTGTGAAAAACAGGACACTGGAGGTTTTGGATCGAGCCAGGCCGAGATGTCAAACCAGCCAGTCAATAAGGCGATGCAGTTGTGAACCGCCTTGAAACCCCTGGCAGCGTTCGTCGATAATTTTCGGGCACGCAAAGACGATCCATCTCCGACGGAATGTCCCCCACGCAGTGCTCTCAGTTAGGCTTGCTCCGCCTTGCCTAAGTACATGGACGGCTGTGCCCAGCTGGCGGCCGCCCGTGGGCGCCTCGCTGGGCGCCCCCCCCGTGCGCTGCGTGGGCGTGCCAGGGTTTTCGCCTGGTGCCCCGCCAGTGGCTGCCGGTGTGCGCCTCGTGGGCGCCCCGTGCGCTGGGAGGGTGCGGCTGGGGTTTCGCAGTGGCTGCCCGTGGGGGCCTCGTGCGATGGGTGGGTGTGGCTGGGTTTCGTCTGTTGCCCGCCCCCCCCGGTTGCCTCGTGGGCGGGCGCCGCGTGGGCGCCCACAAGACTTGCAGCACACAGCTTGCACCACAGAGGTTGGACCACGTAGCTGGCACCGCGTAGCTCGCACGACAAAGTTTGCACTGCACAGTTGGCACCACATGGCTGGTGGGCAGCACATCGATGGCATCACTCTGCTTGCACCACACTGCTTTGGCCACCGAGCTTTCACTACTTGGTTCACACCATATAGTTTGCACATAGCTGGCATCACACAGCTGCGCAGCGTGCACCACAAACCGTTCACCACATCGCTTGCAACACGTGGACTGCACCATACACAAGGCGAGCCACATGGCTTGCAACACATAGTTTGCACACCGAGGGTGCAAGAACTTGCTGTATGCTGTCCACGCATGATGCCATGCTCATACGTTTCATCTGTTTTGTTGTTCGTGGCACACGACACAAGGGGGAAACATGAGGAGAAGGTAAGATGAGCAGGGTTTGGGATAGTCTGTTTGGGGGGCGGGCGGCTCGGGGAGTTCTCTCCCGCAGCCCATTCCTACTTCCTCTCTCGTCCCTTGAAGGGGGCCAGAGGCTCCATCATCAACAAACTGGAGGTTTCGGCACGCGTTCGACAAGCATGCTCCCCCCATTCAGGATGCCAACGCAGCACTCTGTGTGCCCTCCCTCCCCGGATCCAGAGCTCGCTCTCGTCGGTCTGCCGTGATGCCTCTTCCGCGCTGGCGTGCCATGATTCGTTTCTCTGAACTTTGAGCTCTCGGGGGTCACCTCCAGAGCCTCATGGAGCCTTCGTGGGGCGCCTTGGGGCCTCTTGGGTCCGGCGTTGGGGCGCTCTCTTTGGGGGGGGGGGCGTTTTGGACTGCCTGGGCAGCCTGTTGGGCCATTTTGGGTTCCTCCAGAGCCCTGTTATGGCGGCCCTCTTGGGGTTCTCTTGTGCCGTCTTGGGCTCTCTTAGGCCACTGCCAGGTCGTCTTTGGGACCTCCTGACGCCATGTTGAGGCGAAACACGTGCGACGCAAATAATCAAATACAAAATATAGTTTGTCCCGAGATTTTGCTGAGTTTTCTCTGTGGCCCTCTTGGGGAGTCTTTTGGAGCCCACTTGGCCGTCTTCTCGACTTCCTGGACATCTGGGGAACCTTCCTGGACGGGCGTGGAGCTCATCTTGTGCATCTTAGGGGGATCGGAAGGCGCCGCGGAGGCGTCATGCCGCCTGGGGAGCGTCGGGAGGGGGTCCGTGCTGAGTTTGAGACCTCATGGGAGGGAGGAGCCTCCAGCCAAAGCGGCCTCCCGTGAGTCTTGGCTACCATGCAGCGCTTGCCACCGTCGCACGCGGAGGTGGGCCTCTACGTCTTGCACTCGTCCCCCGTAGGAGGCGGTCGGGAGTTCCCAACGGTGGTGGACATTTCTCCTGGATTATGTGATGTGTGCATCCGTGTTGTGTTGCAGGCAAGCGTGCGTTTGAACATACCTGTTGATGAACGCACACATGCTGGAAGGCAAACACACATCGTGCGGCAAGTATTCACACGTCGCTCGCCGTCAAAAGTGCTGACTCTCAGCAAACCTGCGGCTCTCAGTGTGTGGTGCCTTCAGGGGGTGGGGCCCGTGCGTGTGCGGAGGGCCTCCCCAG